GCGAAAAACACCCACAGACACACTCATCACTCCACGCCGACGAGGAACAGAACAAAGGAATGAACCGAAAAAGCGAGTGCAATGTGCCACTTCTAGACACAACTGAACAACTGAGTCACTGTGAACACGCCGACAATCCGTTGGTCCCAGACAGCACCCTCCCTACACGCCACAACTGAACAAAGCCCAGAGTCACCGTGAACGCCACAAACAAACAAAACCACTCACCCATCACACTGTTGGGTTTCCTTTAAAGTCCGGTGAGGTTTATTTGTGAAAAAAGTTTGAAAATAGACCATTTACTTACAGTGCGCCTTATAATCCAGAGCGACTAATAGTGCAGAAAATACACCACACAGTCACAATCACAGACTGTATTTATAAACGAACATAGCTAACGCACTAGCCTCCGTGTTCCAAATAGGATGTTTGCATACGGCTCTTCCGGCTCCTTCTGACTCTGACTCCCATTGACTTACATTAGAATATTGTGGCTCCTCTCTCTGTAAAGGCTGATCTGCGCCTTGTCATTTTGGTCTTAAAATGTTCGGATTAACTTGGGACACAGGATCCTTTATTTATTTATTTTTTTGCTATTTTGTCCGTCAAAAAATCCTATTCATATTATCGATGCTAGCTCCAAATTTGTAACTATTCATATCAGGATCTTCATTTGAGCGGCGCTGAACACTGTGGGGACGTCACTCTCACTTAGTCCAGTTTTATTTATACAGTCTATGGTCAGAATTCGGCCCGACTAACGTCTCCTGCTCATGCTGCGTCTGCACGTGCACGGCCTGTATGAGCTACACAGATGTGACACAGAGGTGGGCGGGGCTTACCTGAAGGCCTCGATGACATATGAGGTGGGCGTGGCTCCGGACAGCAGGTTGGGTTTCCAGGACAGAGTGACGGAGGTGCGGGTGACCTCTGTGACCTCAGGTTTGGAGGGGGCAGAGGGGATGAGGGCGGGGTCAGTCGGTCTGTTGGGCTGGACAGGAAACTCTGAAGGACACACACACACACAAACATACACAAACATATTCTTATAGACTTTTCCATGTTTTTGAGATTTGGTCATAAACTGAAGTTGGGACAGGTGAAAAGCACATCAAATACGACACAAAAACAGTCTCATGTTGTTAACACCTGGAGCTGGACACAGAGGTCTTCTTCACATGGGATTAGTTTGACCTGTGTGTCGCAGTGAGTTTGACTGGTTCACCGCAGAAAAGTACAAAATAATACATGAAGACATCATTTTATATGACTTAAAATCAGAATGTGAATTTTTATTATTATTTTTGAACTAAATCTGAACAAACTCTAAAAAAGCCGACAAGCTAAATGGACAAGCAGTCATACTTATGTCACAAAACTAGAAACGTGTGCATGACGACTTCCAGCAGGTTCTGTTGGCGTGGGTTTTCTTCATCTATCCTACATGTGTGAAATACCCCGGGACTTTAAGAACTCAGGCTGAATGAACTCTGCTTCCCTTGCTATTATCCTTTTCTCTTCCTAAATGCACTTTTTTTTTTTTTTGTATTGTATTGTATTGTATTGTTTCTATATAATATGTTGTGTTTATGTTCCCTCATCCCAACATGTAACTGCTGACGACACACAGCCATGTTTGTTGTACCAAGTTTATGCACCCAGTTGTGTGTAATAATAATAATAATAATAATAATAATAATAATAAGGTTTTCTTCATCTAGATGACATTGTCTTAATTTTTATTATTATTATTTTTTTCCATTTATAAATAGCCTATAAAGATGTAGAGCAGAGGTCTCCAGCCTTTTTCCTCTGGTGAGCTCCTTTACAAAACAAAATTCCAGAGGGCTGCTCATTTTAGCAGCCGCAAGAAATTGAGACGATTATAAGAAAGAGGGCGAGTCTTTGGGTGCAGTTAGAGCTTATAAAACATAAACCACTGTCCCATTTATCTGTGCGCAATGTTGGACTTCAAAATGATACATGCACAATCGTAACAGACATGTAATCAACCAAATGTTTGTTATTCAGCACAGTGGTGTCATTCCAAAATCTCTTGTCGAGCTACTTGGAAGGTGGTGGATATTGACATCTCCTGAGCTACATGTTGGAGAACCCTGATGGAGAGAGAATCATGGAGCTAGACACATAAGTTTTATTCACATGGGATTAGTTTGACCTGTGGACCTTTGGTGAGTTGTAATAATTGTGGAGGATGCCTGAGATCTTAATCCTGTGTGAAAGTGACATGTGTGTAATTTGTAAAGTCAAAATTCCACTGCAAATGACTGATATTTGACCAAACACAGACGTCTGGTGATAATCTTCTCGTGCGAATCTGCATTTCAGTGTTTGTTCATGTAATTGCACCTTTTCTGTCTCTTTCTTTTCTTTCCACATTCTTTTCTCTTTCAATCTCAGTCAGTGTCAGTAAAATAGAGTCATTTACAGATTTCTTTTATCCCGTGTGAATGCGTTGCAAGTAACACAGAGGTGGGGCGGTAATTTGCAAATTACCACACGTCCCCAGGTTGTACTTATCCCGTGCGAATAGGGCTTTAGATAAACAGTAACAATAACTGACATAAGCCCTCACCTTGGACCTCCAGGTGTGCCTTCCAGGACGCCTCTCCGCTCGGCGTTGACGCGATGCAAGTGTACGTGCCGCTGTCACTGAGCTGTGGACACAATAAGACGTCTTCAGTCAAATGATGAGCTATAATAAGCCTTAATAATCAGCCCCCTCCTCCCCCACTCCTCTCTCTGCACAGCACCAGGCACCTGTCACTGTTCCCCTCACCCCCTCACCCCCTCAACCCCCTCACCCCCTCACCCCCTCAACCCCCTCAACCCCCTCAACCCCCTCATCACCCCCTCACCCCTCACCCCTCACCCCCTCAGCAGCTGCACACGGGCCAAACCGATCGGATCCAGGCCAAAGGAGAGATGTTCACACTCTTCAGACGCTAATTAGGGACTATTTTTCTTCGGTGTTATGCCCCCGACTGGCACGCATGGAGGTCAGTGTATGCAAGATGACAGTGTGTGTGTGTGTGTGTGTGTGTGTGTGTGTGTGTGTGTGTGTGTGAGTGAACAGAACTACAGAAGAGTGATATTATCGATGGGTCAAAGGGTTTGTGAGAGGTAGGAATTAATTAGAAACTGTATTTTTCTCACAACGTGCTTTTACTATTCCTTGAGTAATGTTTTCTTTCCTCGTTTCACTGTGAGTAAAAGCTTTAATTGACAATGAGAGATTTAATGAGAGATTTAATTCCTATTAAAAATAATTAAATTCTGAATAAAAAATTAATTCCACTTTAAACTTAATTTCTAATGAAAATGTTTATTCTGAATTAAACTTAATTCCGAAGTAAGTGGGTGGTTTATTCTGATTTTAAATCCCAATGAATTTATTTCTCGATCATTTAAACGTTTATTCTTCTTAAAAATAATGTCGGTGGTTCAGCACATGTTCGTTGTGTCGTCCTTCTGACGTGATCCGGACAATTCGGCTCCACCAGTTCTGTCTTCGGACTTTGATCCACGTCTCTTTGGATTTGTGAGCGGGATGTGGGAGTGGGCTGAGGTAGAACAGCCTCACACTCACTTTGTCTTCCTCCTTCTCCGAAACTCTTCATGTTTGTGTCCGTGGAGTAATGACAAACTGAGATGACAGAAAAGCCGGTAGCAGCTGAATTGTGTGTTTTCTTCCAGTCGATATGTTGTAAATCTGCTGGTGTCTCTGTCCAATCAGAACCCTTCCTACCCCCAGACGCTGAACGGAATTCAAGGACGATTTAACGAGTTTTCTAAGGAATTCTTATTTCCAAGTAAGCTCAAAGGACAATATTTTAATTCTGAACTATTTAATTCAGAATAAACAATTCAGAATTAAAAATAAATAAATTAAACATGGCTAATATGAAATTATTTGAACAACTGTGTTCGTTGGAACTCCTTCAGGTATGACTTGTCTTCTTTGTGTCTGTCCTTTGAAAACAAAAGACTGTGTGCATTATGTCATGTTTTGATCACATTACTTTCACTTTCAATTAGAAATCAGATGTTGCGTCCCAACAGTTACTCTTTAGGTTATTTTTACTTTTCCAACTGAGTCGTTTCTTAGAGCACTTCTTTATACTTGTACTTGTAACTTTAGCCTTACTTGAGTAAAACTTTTGGCTGCTCTCCCACCTCTACTGGGGACCTTCTTCCTGTGAGTTGAGAGAGCTAACCACTCTGCAAAGTTACTGGTAATACAGGAAGTGCTCCACTGTGTTTTTAAACTCCATACACCTTCACTAGAATCATTTGGACAGTTCCAGATCTGCTGGAATTGCTCATCTCTACTGAACTAAAGGTAAAAGGAGACCAAACAGCCCTTGCCTCCAGATTGAAAACGACTTTTCTCCAGTCATTTTTGAATTTTAAAATGTACTTTTTTGCCAGACACTTGAACAATTTCGCATTTTTTATTTTGAAGTACAAATCAAAATACTGGAGGTACACTATTGAGAGAGATGTCAAGTGAAAAGTAGAATGTAAAAAGTTCCTGACAGCCTAGTTTCAGATTAGAAGGAGTCTTGATGTGGGAGGTGGGTGAGAGAGCCTCCCCGTGGAGCTGCTGCTGCTGCTGCTGCTGCTGCTGTAAACAAGCTTACTCCAAAAACTGCTCGCTAGCCTCCAGGTGAACTGTTTTTAGAGTTTTGTTGAGAAAACGCTCGGAATTCTACCACCCACATCAGCCGCGCAATTAGACCTCGCATCAACAGCCTCATTATTACATCAGTGTCGCAGTGAGTTTGGCTGTTCGGTTCATCGCAAACAAGTACAAAATACTACATAAATACATCACTTTAAATGACTTCAAATGAAAGAATTAAAATCTGAACAAACTCTGAAAAAGCTGATAAGTTAAATGGACAAGTAGTCTCGCTTATGTCACAAAAGTAGAAAACGTTTGGAACCATGTGCATGACGACTTCCAGTGGGCTCTGTTGGCGTGGGTTTTCTTCATCTAGATATCATTGTATTCTTTCATTTTTTTCCTTTTATAAATAGCCTAAAAAGAAGTGCAGGTGCATGTAGAGCAGAGCCAGGGTGGTGTCACCTCGTGCCTCCGCTCAATTTCATTTCTCTCCAGTAACTAGGTCAGGAATCAGAATACACTAGACCAGGGGTGCCCACACTTTTTCAGCATGTGAGCTACTTATAAAATGTTCGAGTCAAAATGATCGACCGACTACAAAGTCAAGTAAACTGTACTGGACTTTAAGAGAACTTTCAGTAGCACTTTACAGAAAACTGAAAAAAGTGACGACAGTGAGTAGGATTTTTAAACCTGTTTTTTCAAGTTCCTAACTGGAGTTACATGGTTAGTACTAGTTTTACAGTGGGATTTAGCCTCTGCACATTTACTAAACCAAACACACGTCGTGACAAACACAAGCACGTTTATTAGGCAAACTTTAGCCACATGTGGCGGTAGGTCTGCTCTGTGCTGTTGGCTCCTCTGTGCCAACACTAACATAAATTTAGATTAGTTTTTGCTTCGCGTTTTGTCTTGTCCTTCTAATCTGCACGCATTGTGGCAGGAGCCTGTGTGTGCGAGAGCGTGAAAAGGCGAGAAGTGGTGCGCTGAGGAAGATGGACAGGTAGGATGTTTTAAAAAAGTTGAACCTGCCCTGTGATACATGCTGGTACACAAGGACTCACGCTGTTGCGGACAAGCCGCGCGCAGGGAGTGTGTGTGATTGTGATGTGCCGCACAGTATCTTCGTGTTCCAAATGGCACACAGGCTACAGAGAGACGCTCCGCACGCTCCCGCACCCCGGTACAAGTTTATTGCCAACAGCAGCGGCCGTAATATGATCCCATTTGTCCAGTGTCAGACCTCGAGTGAGAGACAAGACCGAGGCCAAATTTGATCGAGTCCGAGACAAGTACTAAGACACTGCGATCTACTCACACCACCTTGGCGATCGACTGGTAGATCACGATCGATGTATTGGGCACCACTGCACTAGACGGTTCGCAAAAATCTCAGAAGTGTGAGTTCAGGCACCAGCCAATCAGCGAAGAGCCATATATTCTGTGTTGTCAATGATTCCTGAGATTGAGGATTTAAAGCCGCAACAAAGAGAATGTTTGGTGAATTTTATCAAGGGGAAAGACGATTTGGGAAAAGTTTAAAATACCAGTTAGCCCTGTTAGCGGCGCATTACATACGTTATGACCAAATAACAGCGATCGGTTAAATGCTAAAAAGTACCCGTCTACCATTGAGCGAATGAATTCTAATGCTGCGAGGTCAGACGGTTTGTACGAAGTGAAACAAAGTAAAACCGGCTGAGAGCTAAAGTTGATTATACGAAAGAGGGCGAGTCTTTGAGTACAGTTAGACGCCTACGAAACATAAACCACTGTCCATTTATTAGTGCACGACGTTGGGCTTCAAAATGATACATGCACAATAGTAACAGGCATGTAATCAACCAAATGTTTGTTATTCAGCACAGTGGTGTAATTCCAAAATCCCTTGTCGAGCTACTTGGAAGGTGGTGGAGAGATACTGGCAGCTCCCAAGCTACAGGTTGGAGACCCCTGATGTAGAGAGAGTCATTATAGTTATAATAATATGTTCAGCAGATCAACAGTTCCAACCAGCTGCCTGTGAGTGACACTGAAGACGTGATCAGAGTCTCGTCCCTCATGGAAAAGCTTTGGCAGGTTGTGAAGTTGCTGTTGCTGAATCCACGGTTTTATTGTTTTATCACATGCTCACTGTCGGGAAGTACACCGGAAATCATCATCCATATGTTTTTAAATGTTGTCTGATAAGCATGAATAGAGCCGATTTAGTGTTGTCACAATACAAAAAATTCTCAATGTTCATTCAAATAAAAAACCCTCTTTCTTTAGACAATAAACTGCGATTTTCCACATTAAATAGCAGTATTTTCTCTTCTATTCCCATGTGGGCTTATATCAGTCGTCCATGTAGGTTCATAGTGTCCATGGGTGTAGATTAGTCTATGTGCTCTTACACTTGTTCTGATACTTCATTTTTTTGTTTCAACATCTGCTCAAATGAGTCTAGTTTCGATGCAAGTTTTAGTATCGATTATTATCAGATTTTTGATACTTTCAGCAACCTTACTCCAATTTACAAGAATGGAAAAAAAAACTATTATAATGAGTTTAAATCACAAAATTCATCTTGATTTGAGTAGATTTGACAGTGTACTTTAACGTACATCTCAGAGTTACATTATTTGACTACTAAACACATCATGTTTGTGTATTCAAAAGGTTGTGTGTTTGAGTGATTTGTCTCATTAAAGCAGAACGGTGTTAACACTTTACTCTCCAAGCCAACACTAGACTGTTTTATATACTGCTGCTTATAGATTTTTAAAGATGGTAAAACTTATATTACACATATTTTTCAGAAATAATGACTGATCTAATGATTTCAAATTGTAACAAATATAGAATTAGAACAACTAGGTTTAAAATAAAACACAAAACTTGGAAAAACTTGAAAATTGGAAATATGCCTGTATAATTTGATATAATTTACAAAAAAAAAAAAATAAATAAAAATAAAAATAATAATAATAATAATAAAATAATAAATTAATTAATAAATTAAATAAATAAATAATAAAAATAGACGAAAGACTAAAACTAAATTTTTTTTGAATATTTTACTAAAATGTAGACAAAATTTAAATTTGTTGAAAAAGTACCTTATTCAATATAGGACTTCAAAATACAAAATAAATAAATAAATAAAATTGTGTAATGCCAAAACTGCTTAAATCAAGTTTTCAGTATTATTTCCTTTTTTTTTAAATGTATTTATTTATTTTTTTGCAGTGTATGACCCCAGTAGCTGCGGTGACCCCTCGTCCCAGGTTTCTTCATTAGGGGGAGGGCAGGTTGACTTTGACGCGTGTTCTACGGAAACGCGCCTGTGGAGGGAGACGTCAAACCCGCCCCGCCTGCCCCACCCGCCCGCCTGCCTCGCCCCTGTCGGCTAATCAAACGCACCCTGCCGCCCGCTGCCCCGCCGCACGCCTCGCTTCATCACGCTATATGAGACTGACGTGACCCCCCATACCCCCCACCACACACACACACAGGGCCGTTTGACTGACAGGCGGGTGGGGGCGGGGCTAACAGGAACACATGGCTTATTTGGGCAGCGGCGGGGGGGATTCTCACACACAGATTTTGACAGTTTTAAATATAGACGTGTGAATAATCGCAGTGAAAATGATCCAAAACGAGCCAGGAGCCCACATCAAAACACACAAAATAAAGATGAGAGTTTAGCAGCAAAGGCCCACGCTCATCATTTTGTGAAGAACCGACTTCTATCAGATTTAGACGGATCTTAAAGCACACTGTGCCTTTTCTAGGTCAATGGAGCAAACTGAAGACCGTGAAGACAGCGCTCACTCTGAGATCGTTTTGTCAGCAACACTGGCCAGGAAAATACAAAGTTATTCTTACATTTTGCTACCTGCTTGTCTCCATGGAGATGTTATTGCTTTGCCAGGAATGTTTCTTGGTATGACTTTAAAAATGTCCACCTAGCATTTATTCATTTATACGGGTGTTTCTATTGTTTGAAGACAGAATAATTCCTTCTGTGCATAGGGGTGACTCTCCACAGATCTGAACTATAATGTAGCGTCGTGCTGTAACCTGCTACATAGGTTTAATCTGTACTGTGGAACATTCCAGACAAAGCGATCACATTTCCATGGAGACAAGCTTGTGGTGAACGCTCCACTAGAAATGTTACACAGTGCACCTTTAAAAAAGATGTACAGTAGAAACAATTTTTTGATACAGAAAGATAAGTAATTTAACATTTTGAGTTGCTAAATTTGCACTGTGTAATTTTATGGTTGGGGCTTTGTCACCTGCTTGTTTCCATGGAGATGTCATTGTTCTGCCTGGAATGTTCCACAGTGTGACATTAAACAGCTCTACCTTACATTTATTCCATTGCAGGTGGTTTTATCAGAGGTGGAAAAAAAGTACTGAAAAAAAATTGTGATTAAGTAAAAGTATATTTTATTTGCTTAATTCCAAGTAAAAGTAACCATCTAAATATCTACTCGAGTGAAAGTAAAGAGAAGAGAGTAAAAGTACTTCATTTAAAATGTAATTTGAGTAAAAGTTACTTAGTTATGTTCAATTATTTGATGTAAAAAATGATGAGTGATGAATCTAATTCAGCACAAGTCATTTAAATCAACATTGAACAAACTGTGTTCAGTGCAAACTCTACGTTGTCAGGACAACTGAGCTCACCAACTCTTACTATTTTAACACTTGTGTTATTATGTTATTCTCTATTCTGAATGCAAATAGCTCTCTGAGGTTAGGCCAACAGTTTCCTTCGCTCTCCTCTGCTCCTTCTTCATGAATATCGTCCATGACGACCTCGATCTGTGACTCAGCACCAGCATCATCCAAGTTGATCGAGGACAGACTGACGGTTACGTACAACGACTAAACATTCTGTAGCGAAAATGCCGCAGATGCAGCCTGTGCTATTTACTTTCATTTCCAGCAGATTGTTGTTGTTTTTTTGTTTTTTGTTTTTGTTGTTTTTTTTTTTGGGGGGGGGGGCTTTTTTTGGATTTCATTTATTTAAAAGTAAAATACTTGAGTCCAAATGTACTTCAGTCAAAGTAAAATTACCTATTTCAAAAACTACTTAAATAAATTACAAATTACTCATAAAAACTACTCGATTACAGTAACATGAGTAACTGTAATTTATTTAAGTAGTTTTTGAAATAGGTAATTTTATTTTTACTGAAGTGCATTTTGACTCAAGTATTTTACTTTTAAAAACTACTTAAATAAATTACAAATTACTCATAAAAACTACTCGATTACAGTAACATGAGTAAATGTAATTTGTTACTTTCCACCCTTGGGTTATATAGCTCAAAAATACCAAGAAAAACTGACTGTGAGCGGGGTCGCCTCTCCACAGATCTGACCTGTAACTTGGTCTGGTTTGGTTTCCATGGCTAGTAGATAGAAAGGTTTAATGCCAGACTGTGAAACATTCAAGACAAAGCAATAACATCTGCATGGAGAAAAGAGTTTGACCCTGGACATGACGGCCGAGATGTTTATGTTATAATGTGGTGTTTTTGGTGAACCTCACGTGACTCTTTCATTTGTGTTGCCAGTTTTGATGTTGAAATCCAGTGTGTTTAAACCCAAAATGCCTCTGACCGGTCACTCTCTAAACCCCAGCACCTGCACCGGTCCCGAGTCAGTGCAGCTCAGTGCTTCTACAACTACATTTCCCCGACCTCCTAACATAACTGCCTTTTACATTTTTGAGTTATTTCCACGCTCCCCAGACTCTGCTGCATCTGGACGTCTCATTGGCTCCGTCCTTGGCCAATCAGAAAGAATTCACAGCCAAAAAAAGCCAAACCGCAGCACTCGTCTTAAGGACATAGGCAGTTTATTTTTCCATTTTCCCAAAACCCTGAACAATGACTCAGGCAATTATACTTTGACAACGAAGCTGTTTTGGCTGGAATGACTCAGTTGGTTTTGTCTCATAATAATTCTGTTTTGTCTTTCGCAAATTCCCACAGATTTCACATGTCCCAAATATCTCCACTGGTTATCTTTTAGATCTTGTTACCCCTAGTCCTCTTGTACAGTCCAGTCTCACCCCCGGTCCTCTCGTACAGTCAAGTCTTACCCCTGGTCCTCTCGTAGTCCAGTCTTACCCCTGGTCCTCTCGTAGTCTAGTCTCAGCACTGGTCCTCTCATAGTCCAGTCTTACCCCTGGTCCTCTCGTAGTCCAGTCTTACCTCTGGTGCCCTCGTAGTCCAGTCTTACCCCTGGTCCTCTCGTAGTCCAGTCTTACCTCTGGTCCCCTCGTAGTCCAGTCTTACCCTGGTCCTCTCGTAGTCCAGTCTTACCCCTGGTCCTCTCATAGTCCAGTCTTACCCCTGGTCCTCTCGTACTCCAGTCTTACACCTGGTCCTGGTCCTCTCGTAGTCCAGTCTCACCCTCTGGTCCTCTCGTAGTCCAGTCTCACCCCTGGTCCTCTCGTAGTCCAGTCTCACCTTGGTCCTCTCGTAGTCCAGTCTCACCCTTGGTCCTCTCGTAGTCCAGTCTCACCCTTGGTCCTCTCGTACTCCAGTCTTACCTTGGCGTATCGGATCTGCAGAGCTCCCGTCTCCAGCTGTCGGACCCGGGAGTCGTGGGTGGACACCAGCGTTCCGTCCTTCCTCCACAGGATGGTGGGGGTGGGGCTTCCCGTGGCCTGGCAGCTCAGCACCACCGTCCCGTCCACCGTCACTGGTCTGATTGGTCGGGCCCTGGCGGATCACAGGAGGGGGGCGGTCCGACACCACTGCGGGAGAGAGACACGGACAAGAGGGGGTTATGTGATGTGAATGTGATGGGACTTTGTGTCAAAGGTCATAATCTAGTTCTACTGGGTGTTTGATTGACAGACATTGTAACCAATCAGATGCTGTTGTTTTCATGTTTGATTGACAGCGCTACATGTTTTAGTTGTTGTCAGGGCATCGTGTGGTAGCCTGATTCATCAGCCGGTTTCACTTCGTACAAACTGTCTGACCTCGCAATGTTAGAATTCATTTGCTTGACGGTTGGCGGATACTTTTTTCAATTAAACAATCGCTGCTATTTGGTCATGATGTATGTAATGCACCACTAACAGGACTAACTGGTATATGAAGCTTTTCCCAAATCCTGTAGGAAGAAGGACAATAATGTCTTTCCCCTTGATGAAATTCACCAAACATTCTCTTTGTTCCAACTTTAAATCCTCGATCTCGGGAATCGTTGCCAACACAGAATGTTTGGCTTTTCGCTGATTGGCTGGTGCCTAAACTCGCACTTCTGGGGTTTTTGTGACCCATCTAGTGTATTCTGATTCCTGACCTAGTTGCTGGAGAGAAATGAAACTAAATAGAGGCAGTAGGTGGTGCCAGCCTGACTAGTTGTGTGGAGCTTGTGAGCACAAGTCTTGTGTGTGTATTAAAGAAGTTAGTATTGGTTTAAAAAAGTCACACATATACCTCAATGTGTCTGCAGAGTGTTCTGAAGTTGTTACCAATAGCTGATTATAGAAAACGTGTGTTTAAGGGCCAATTAGATGTTTATTTATAGGCGAGTTTCATTGTTGACAAAAGCACGCGTTGCATGCTGGGAATTATTTTGGTTGGCAGCAAGAAACACTAATTCAACATGACGGACGGAGCGAGAAAGCACGTAAAGGGTATTGATCCCGGTTATTTATCCACTCTAACGGCAGAGGACCCAAGACCATTTGACCAGAAATTGGTCATAAGCATCGACGGACGACAAATCACCCTTTTCAACCCCGACAAAAGGTGGACCAAACCAAATTTCTGGTCAGAATCACCAACTACCTGGACAAATATTCACTTCGGGTGATATCCACAATGACTTGGTGGAAACTCCTGGGTCATTCACAGCAGAAAAGATGAAAACCTCCAAGAGTCTCGATGTGTTGTTGAACTTGTTGGAGTCCACAGTTTGTTAGGATCTTCTACGTTTGCTCTGTGAATGTTTGAAAGCCGTTTAATTCACCGTTAGTGGTTCTTTTCACTCAGAATACGAAAAAGACATTTTCCTTCTTCCGTGCTTCTATTTGTGCATCTGATAATGCAGCAGGGAATTTACCATTATCGGGGATAAATACGCGAGGTTACGCACTGTGTTTGACCACTACTGTGTTTCTTGCCTCCAACCAAAATATTTCCCAGCATGCAACGCGGGCTTTTAGTAACAATGATGTCAGCTGAAACTCGCCTATAACATCAGGAAATGCTAAGTTCCAGGTGCTAAGAACCAGTTAACGGCCTGCTATTATTTCAGATCTATCACCACTTTTTCTGACATGTTTATTTGTATTTATAGAGTATATTATGATTTATATCTTTTCCCTCCATTTGTAAAGTTCAACGTTTTTAATAAAAGTCATAAAAGTCATAAAACTGAATCATCTGTCATCGTGCATTGTTACCGATGCCCCCTGGAGGTCAAAACTGTTATAAGTCGCACAACTAACTCTCACCACAATGGACCTCATCATCTGTTTTAGAGATGTTCCCATGTGGATGTTTTGAGATGATGTCCATATCCAACATTTGTCTTTCTGCTGTGACCGATAACCAATATTTTGCTTTTAAAATCCATAACAAAGACCACAAACTCATCTTCAGTCTCAGTTACAGTAAAGTCCACAAACTCACTTTTCACTTTTGTAAAAATAGTCAGAAAATGTAATCATCTGTCAAAATTACATGACAGATTTTTGCATAATTCCTTTTCATTTCCCATTTTTACTTTTTTGAGTCTGTCCAAAAACACAACTGGGACTGACACACAGACTGCGGCAGCCAAATTTCAACAGATTTTTCTATTTCAGCCAAACCCCAAATCCTCAAAAATTGGCCAGTACCAATATTGGAAGCAATTATCTGGGCTTAAAGGTCCCATATTACGCAGAATTGCCTCTTGAGAGTTTTAAGCCATGTTGTTACCTCATCAAAAACAAATCTGGAGCTGTATTTAGTTTTATTCACACGTACGTCTACATCTCCAAAGCCCGAAATGCCCTTTTCCACCTTGTGATGTCATACAGTGGTTATTTAGTGGTAAAGTTAACAGCTTCTTTTACTTTTTTGTTCAGTAGAGCTTAACAATTCCAGGTCTAGTATCATCCAAATGGTTCTAGTGAAGGTGTATGGAGTTTAAAACACAGTGTTTTCTGTCTAAATGTGCAGGTTTTTTGTGTGTTAAACATGTGTGAATGAAACAAAACACAGCTCCAGGCCTGTGTGTGATGAGGAAACTACATTTTAACATAGATCAGAAAATAGTGGAATATGGGTAAATTAATATGATCCAGTTTTCTGGAAAGAAAAGACCCGATTTAAAACTCGGGTTTGCTTTCAGGCTGTGGCTCCCAAATTATGGAACGCCCTGCCCCCGGCCCTATGTGAGGCAGACTCTATAGACTCTTTTAAAAAGCAGCTCAAGACACTGCTGTTTAGACAGGCTTTTAGATGATTGTGTTTGTAATTCCTCTGTTCTTGTTTATGTTGTTTTTATGCTGTTTTTTGCTCTGTAAAGCACTTTGTGATTTTGTATCTGTGAAAGGTGCTATAGAAATAAAGATTTACTTAGTCTACGTTCAGACTGCAGCCTGCAGTGACCCAAATCTGATTTTTGGCTTCTATGTGACCTGTATCTGATCTTTTAATGACAGTCTGAACGACACAGATCCGATGTTTTCAAATGTGACCCAGGACACTTGGATATGTGCTCCTGAAACTGATACATATCTGATCTTTTGACATGTGACTTCAGTCTGAATGGTCAAAGTGCATTCATCCACCTACACGTTATCAACAAGACACAAACGTCACTATTCTGCGCTGAAGTAGGCGAAAATCGTTAACAAACTCCGTGTCACTGAAGTGAAGCACATCACCACTCACCACTCTTGGCTCCGTCTCCACATCCACACGTTCCTTTCAACAGACGTCGCTGCTGCCGCTGCCCACAAAACACCACGACCAAAAACCTCGTCCTTCTCCTTCTCAATCTCCTCCTTAAAACAAGTAAGTTGTTCATGTTCTGGCTCCGGTACGAAGAGGAACTTTAAAATCTCCAGGTGCTCGATGCTGCGTCCATGTTTGGACAACTTCCGTAAACACATGTCTCCAGTGTCACATGTGGGACACTTTTGGGCCGTTTAATGTTCACACTGGAGTCACATACAAGTCACATTTAATTGGAAATGTGAACGACCTCGCAAAAACATCGGATTTCAGAAAAAAATCAGAATTGAGCATTAAGCCCTGCAGTCTGAACGTGATTGATTTTTGAGGAAGGATCCTGAAAATATTTTGGTTGATCTGGAAACTACCTGATAAATTATAATGGAGTTTAATGGGAGCCAAATGGTTTAGTTCTGTTTCTCTTTCTAATTCATGCCACCAGTTCAAAAGTGTTCCTCTAACTACTTCTTTACCAATGAAGACCCGCCTAATGTGAACAGAACCTTCTCTAGTTACAGACTTCTGAACTGCGTTTAACAATCTCAGCATTATTCCATCTTTCATAACTTAAACGTGCACTGTGGAGTTTTCTGATGGAGTCTCTGCTTGTCTCCATGGGAGATATTGTTGCTTTGCCTGGAACCTTCCACAGTCTTATCTATCACCTTTGGGACAAACTGGTGACAATACCAGAGGCCAAGATACACGTCAGATCTGCGGAGATGCACTCACAGTAGGAATGCAGAAAGTATTTTTCAAGCAATAAAACCCAAGATCGATAAGTTGAATGTGATACTGTGGAACATCAAGGCAAATAACACTTCACTAGAAAAATGACACTGCACATTGTTTTGAATTTCAATTAAGAATGAAAAACAATAAAATGGGAAAACATTTTGTTATTGTTTGTTCATTATTCAGTTTTAGTGTCAAATAAAAAAAAAAAAAAAAAGATTTCAAACTCTTTTTCCAATATTTAGTCTCTGTGCCTATTTCAGTTTGGATATTTTATTCTCTTCTAGCAGCAGAACTTCAAACAGCAAATAAACCAGAGAGAATAAAATATCCAAACTAAAATAGGCACAGAGACAGTTTATTGACTGGTTTTATTTGAAATAAATGTTAAAGTAAATATTAAATTAAATATGAATTGATTATTATTATTTTATTTTTATTTTTATTTTTTTTTACACTCAAACTGAATAATGAAGTAAACTTTGTCCCCTTTTATTTTTGTTTTTCATTGAAATTCTAAAGAACAAATGGTACACAGAGCAAGAGTGGTCCAAACATTTTGCATGCATTTGGTTCCATATCTGGTCAAAATATTTGGGTCCAAATTTTATGCAAAATAATTAATATTTAGAGGTTGCTGAAGATACTTGAAATTGCACTATGGTCTGTAATATAACATAGAACCAAATAAATAATAATCAAATAATTTGTCATTTTATTCTGCAAACACAAATGGAAACTTGCATAAAAATTACTTTGAAAGTCCATAAAGTCTGTAAAAGTGACTTGAAAACGCTAAATTATTCCATTTCCATGAAACCTAAATCATCTTTTGGAGCTAAAACCTAATGCAGGATTCTAACTGGGATCATCTGAAACTTTATTTTTTTACGATGCTTTGAGGGGGCAGCCTAGTGCACATTTTAAAATTTCCTTTCCAAAAACCAGAAAAAGCACGATAAGGAGCAAATCTGTTTAAAATATGGTTAAAACCAAAGTTGCTTGTTTGGGAAAGTGTATGTGCAAACAGAGCATTTTTGTCGTAATACTTTTAGTTCTGGTTTAGCGCCGCTTCGGTCCTGGTTTAGTCTGGGACACATCTTTACCCCAGGCCAATCTCCACCGCAGAACACCAAACATTTTTCCCACAATGCACCAAACAACACTGGAAAGTATGCAGAGCAGCGAGGAGGCGAGCGGAGCGTGCTAGCCACAGTCACCCAATAAAGTCTGAGAGGAGACACGCAACGCTGCAGCTCACATGGGACTGCGCACACTCAATTAAAGACTCGACCCGGACTCAGCCGGACTCAGCCAGGTCTGAACCGGGACTCAGACGTGTCAAAAGAAGAACAAGTACGATACATTTAACTCTGACAAACCGAGAGCCAAATAGAATGATGTCAGTGCAGAGAGATGTTGATGATCGAGATGGTGGAGAAGTTACATGATGCTACTTTAATTACTATATCTTTGCTACTAGTCAACGTTTACGAACTGCTTGGTTCTTTGGAGATGTCATTGCTCTGTCTGGAATGTTCCACAGTGTGACATTAAGCAGCTCTACTTTACATTTATTCCAATTCCAGGTGGTTTTGTAGCTCAAAAATACCTAGAAAAACAGACATTCTGACTGTGAGCGGAGTCGCCTCTCCACAGATCTGACTTGGAACTTGGTCTGGTTTGATCTCCATGAAGACAGAACGATTTAATGCCATACTGTGAAACATTCCAGACAAAGACGTGACATCTTCACGGAGAAAAGGGTTTGACAGACACCGTAATGTTCTGCTATGTCCTTTAAAACAGACCTGGAGTTATGTTTTGTTTCATTTCTGTTTGAGTAATCCTCTGTTATTAGTCTGTCCACATCTCCAAAGCTCAAAATGCTCTATTCCACCTTGTGATGTCATAAACAAGGTTAATAGCTCTTTTATCTTTAGTTCATTAGAGATCAGCAATTCCAGAGGTGAAATGATCCAAATGATTCTAGTGAAGGTGTACAGAGTTTAAAAACACAATGGAGCACTTCCTGTATTACCACATGACATCACAAGGTGGAACAGAGTGTTTTCCATTGGAGAGAAGAACTCAGTATGCAGGGAAACTACAACAGAACAGAAATCAGAGCCTCATACGCCAATAGCCTCATACAGATATCGCCCCTTTAAAACTGTAAATTGTCACATTTTTCTATAGCGCTTTTCTACTTTCAAGGCTCAAGCACTTTTACAACAAGGAACCACACACACATTCACATTATGGTTGAAGTGGGTTAAGTGTCTTGCCCAAGGACACAACGACAGCATTCATCAGTGGGAGCCGGAATTGCACCAACAACCTGTGGGTCTGTGGATCTGACCGCTCAACCTGTGACGTTTTTTTGCTGTTATTGTTGTTTTTTTTATGTCAAGATGAGGATTTGAACCGCCAACCTCCAGATCCAGTGGGGGATGCTCGACCAACTGAGCTACTGTCGCCCATAATGTCTCGAAATGTGCTCTGTAAATAAATGTGGGTTTGAACATTGAACATACAGAGAATCAGTTCATGATTTAACCCTTGTGTCTTTAGAATGTTTCAGTTCGTTCATGTTTCCTGATTGGCCTCACTGTTTTTCCTTCTTTCAAAACAGAATCATATCTGTTATTCCAAACAAAACAAAGTGCAGCACAGAAGAACTGCACCACCATCTCTGGAGACAAATACATCACCCCGACAACCCACAGCCTCATCTCTATCCTCCTCTCCTCCCTCTCTCCCTCACTCTCCTCTCCTCCCTCTCTCCCTCACTCTCCTCTCCTCCTCTCTCCCTCACTCTCCTCTCCTCCCTCTCTCCCTCACTCTCCTCCCTCTCCTCACTCTCCTCCTCTCTCCCCACTCTCCTCTCCTCCCTCTCTCCTCACTCTCCTCTCCTCCCTCTCTCCCTCACTCTCCTCTCCTCCCTCTCTCCCTCACTCTCCTCTCCTCTCTCTCCCTCACTCTCCTCCCTCTCTCTCCCTCACTCTCCTCTCCTCTCTCCCCTCTCTCCTCACTCTCTCTCACTCTCCTCTCCTCCCTCTCTCCCTCACTCTCCTCCTCACTCTCTTCCTCACTCTCCTCTCCTCCTCTCCTCACTCTCCTCTCCTCACTCTCCTCACTCTCTCTCCTCCCTCTCTCCTCACTCTCCTCTCCTCCCTCTCTCTCCCTCACTCTCCTCTCCTCCCTCTCTCCCTCCCTCTCTCCCTCACTCTCCTCTCCTCACTCTCTTCCTCACTCTCCTGTCATCCCTCTCTTCCTCACTCTCCTCCTTCTTTTATTCACTCTCCTTTCCCTCCTTCTCTTTCTCCCTCTTTTCTCCGCCCTCTCTTCCTCACTCTCCTCTCCTCCTTCCCTTATTCACTGTCCTCTCCTCCCTCTCTTCCTCTCCCTCCCTCTCTCTCCTCATTCTCCCTCCCTCTCTTCCTCACTTTCTCTCCAACTACCCTCTCTCTCTCCTCCTTCTCCCTCCCTGTCTTCCTCCCTCTTGTCGTCCCTCTCTCTCCCTCTATCTCTCTCATCCCTCTCTTCCTCCCTCTCATCCCTCTCTTACTCATTCTCCCTCCCTCTCTTCCTCCCTCTTGTCCCTCTCTCTCCCTCTATCTCTCTCGTCCCTCTCTTCCTCGCTCTCCTCTCCTCCCTCTCTTTCACTATCTCTCTCTATCTCTATCTCATCACTCTTCCCCCTTCCCTCCTTTCCTCCCTCTGTCCCCTCTCCTCCCCCTGTTTCCTCTCCTCTGTTGTTATCCGTCTCCATCGTTCCGCTTGTATCACTTCTGTCAGTGTTGTAGATTTACTCTTGACCTCTGCTCATTTTGGACCAATCAAAAGTGACTAAACTTTGCACAGGAAACACAGGATTTATGTTCGAGCTGCACGTCAACAGGCTCTGGAAGTGAAAGTCACAGATATTACAGAAGCAAAACTACAAACTGCAACTGTTGACTTATTGAAAATGTAAAACAGGACGAGTTCATTAGAAACAGTTTGCAGTCGTCCAGAGTTATTCTTCACTTTCGTGCATTCTGAGCATCATAATTCTTCACTTTATGAGCACTTTCCACAACTTTCAGAGACCCTAACCCAAGGACATAGTCCCCTCCAGTGTGTCCTGAGTCTTCCTCGGGGCCTTCTCCCTGTGGGAGGGAGACCGAGGGAGACGCCACAGAGGCATCCGGAACAGATGCCCGAACCACCTCAACTGTGCCTCTCAACATGGAGGAGCAATGGCTCTACTCCAAGCTCCTCTCGTGTGACTGAGCTCCTCACTCTATTTCTAAGGGAGTGTCCAGCCACCCTGCAGAGGAAACTCATTTTGCCCACTTCTATCCATGTTCTCATCCTTTTGCTCATTACCCAGAGCTCATGAAGACATTTGAGAGTTGGAACGTAAACTGACTGATAAATCGAGACCTTTGCCTTTCAACTCAGCTCCCTCTTCACCACAACGGTTCGATCACAGCGATCACATCAGTGCCAATGCTGCACTGATCCACCTGTCAATCTCACGCTCATTTTAGCAACATAAGAACAATCAGATATTTGATGTGTTTTGAACTGTTTGACTAGACTTTGCCAAAATAAAATTCTACAAAATTCCAGCAATCCAGTCTCATTTAGTCCAAAGCCACCATGATATTGATGCCAGTGCTGCGTCTAGAAGGTTGTCCTGGCAGGTGTACAACTTGTGCAGATCTACGAAACACACCGGTTGCTGTTGTCTGACACTTGAGTTTAAAGTGCGTTGTGATGTAACCTACCATCGGTGACCTCCAGCAGGGCTTTGGTGATGACGCTGCCGGCGATGTTGAGGGCCTGGCAGCTGTAGAAGCCCACGTCGGAGCGCTCGGCGTCGGTGATGGTCAGGTCTCCGCTCTGGGACACGGAGAAGCGGCTGGAGGGCTGAGGAGGCTGGTACGAGAAGAGCAGGTTCTGGAGGACAGACGGTGGGTTAGAAACACAGGGAGAGGGACTGGCTGTTGATAATCAGGTTTTATTTGTCGTCTTTTTTCCACATTTAAAGGTGGTTGATTATAGTCCATAAAAATACAGTATCTTTCATTTTCATTGGACTCATTAGAACTGTTTAAAGTGGTCATAATTATGTGGTTAGTGGCTAGTACATAAAAATAAATAAACATGTCAATTAAGAAATTAAATTAAATTAAAGTTCCACTACTAAGTTAAGCTTTGACTGAAATATCAAACATTTGGGTTTCAGGCATGATTTGAGTTGTGGAAATAAACCTCGATAGCTTTTTCACTCCTGACTTTGGTTATAATTCTAAGGCTGTTAAATACCCATGTTCAACACACGCTCCTGTTCCCTGAGCGCTGAACTGTGCACCCTGTGGTGACGCGGCGTGCTTTACCTGGCTGCCTTCTCTCTGCCAGAAGATGGCGGGCTGGGGGTTCCCTGTGGCCTCGCACTGGAAGGTGACGGTTCGGCCGACGCCCACCACCTGGTTCCTGGGACGCACCACGAACGCCGGCGGCACTGAGGGACCAGCACACACAAGTCACACACACACTTCCTTTGGAAAGTGACATCCTGAATCTTGTTCTGAATAGTTTTGTTCTATTTGTAAAATTGATAGGCATTTGATTTCAGTCCTATATGTTTTTCAGTTTAAATACAGGGACAGTATGTAAGATATGACCCAAAATACAAAATTAACATGTTCAAATGAAATACAGTTTTTACTCATAAAAAATGTAGTAATTTATTCTTAATAACAAAAAACATTTAACTTGACAGACATGCTGTTTATGGCATAATTTGGTGTTTTGGTTCAAGACAATTATCCAATCAGAACGCAGAATGAGCCTCACTGTAAACCCAAACGTTCAAAGGTTGAGTTGTGTATAGTCAGAGTTTTAGAAAAAGTCCTACTAACTTAATTATGTCAAGTTACTGTAACATGTTCTTCTTTTTGAGTAATTTTAACTAATATTTTTGATTCAAGGGAATGATTGTGGGTATAAGTGAGAGTAATTTAAAAACACAGATTAGGTACAACTTAGTAGAATTAAGTAAATGCTGAATATGATAAGGTCTTGTTATTTCTATTGTTTCAAATAGGGATGCCTTAAAAATAAATTAAATTTATATAGTACATGCTAAAATACAAGAGAATTTCAAAGTGCTTCACCAAATAAGTGAATTTATTCCAGTGGTTTGAAAACTCCCAATTTTAAGTCATAAAAAATGGAAATAACTGAGTTGCTTATCAGAAAATGATGAGTCACATTAACTGCAAATATTTGAGTTGAGCTAAATGAGCACTTTGAATTAAGCTGTTATCAAAAGGTACAAGTAGGAAAACATCCAACCTTTTAAATTCTGGGAGATTGTGACTTTTAAGTTCATCAGCTTTAAAAAATAAATAAATAAAAATGAGGTAGTCGATTGCCTACATTTTTTTAAGTTCATGTAACTTATTTGGGTTTATAGTGTTTATAGAGTCTCTCATTTGGGTTGCAAGTTCCAATGCAACTTATGGTCTGTTCATATACTGAGAATGAGAAAAAAAAAAAAAAAAAAACTTGTTATGTCCTCAATCTACAGCTTCAGGCTCTGGCAGCACAAGTTCAGTGATTGTAGAACCTTATATGTCAAGTGGTTCCTTTAATACCACTTCATAGTCCAAAAGTCCTAGAATCTCCTCTGTCATATGGTTAAATCAGTAAGAACTTCTGATAAAGTTGTAAAAGTGAAATCAGGTAAAGTTAAATCAAGTTCAAACGAGTCAAAACAATGATGGAGAGCTTTTGTGTTTCCAGTGTGTGATGTGATTCGCCTCAGACGGGGGCAGATGGACGTGTCTGTACTCTGCTCCTACACTGTGCACCAGTATTATATTTGCATGTCGTCTGAGCTTTCGTTTGGCCTGTGGTTTTCAAAGCAGGCGGTGGGAGACATGATCCACCTCTGCTCCTGGTTTGCATGGGCCCAGGGACACACATTTACATGGCTTATAGGGGAAACACTGGATACAAATGTACACGACTATTGTGTACAGAACATCTTGTACTCACTCATCCAGGACTGCATATATGTGCACTAACAAAGATAGCATCGGGGTTGCCATGACAGCCTAAATGAATGTTACATGAACTGGACTTTTTTGTGTCAGAACGAGTGGCTTAAGACTGATGTGTGCTTTGAAAATAAAGTTGAAAGTCGCTTAAAGAGAAACCAAAGCAGTCTGTCCTGAAGTATAGTATCATAGAAGACATGTTAACTCTCTTCTTTTGTATACTTCTAGATCTGTGGAGAGGCGAGCAGTAAAAATGTTAGTTTTTCACTTTCTTTTTTATTTTTGTATCTGTATGTAATTTATTTCTATGCTGTAATTTTGATGAAATTATAAAATGAAACCAAGATATGACTGGTTTTATCTTCACTTCTGCATCAGTCAATTCATTTTTGAATTTCATTGCCAACAAATGAAACAGAGAAAGATATTTACTAAGGTGAATGTTTAACGCTAGCACCATAATGGTTTATTTAAGAGTGTTTTATCCATAATCACGGACCAACAGAGTTAAACCAGTGCTTCCGTCTGCGTCATTCATTCAAGTGTTATGTCCAGTTATTGTTACATTCTATTGTGCTCCACCGACCTCCACCTTAAGAAAGTGCAATGAAACAGCCAATCAAATCAGGGTTCTGAAAGACAAACTCAGGCCACTTCAGTGCAGACTGAATCAGCTGGACATTAAACTTTTGTAACCTTTGATTTATTTTGATGCATATTATTTCATTTATTAACATTAATTTGGGTGATTATTATTTTATATATTGTTTGGATAATTAATTTATATTATTTTGCATTTATTTCATTGACAGTTCATTGTTACATTGTGTTGGGTTCTGTGGTGTTATTTTGTTGTTTCGGTGGAATGTGTTTGGTCAGCGCACCGGAGACAGAGAGAGAAAGAGGTGTTGCTGAATAAAGCGTATTGTACCTGTCCTGCTGTGTTGGTTTTTTAGTTAGCAAGGAAAACTTCAAGAAACTACAATTATCAAATCTAAGTGTAACCCGAGATACCCACAGCCTTAAGAGCCTGGTAATGACAACATTTTAGGGTTACACTTTCTTGAACATCCATATTTTCCCCAACTGTTGCAATGGAACAGATTTACAGCGGATGTCGGGAGAACTGACTCGGATTTATCCACTACTGATATTCAATAGAACAGGGGTCTCCAACCTCTTTCCTCTGGTGAGCTCCTTTACAAATCAGAAATGCCACAGAGCTTCTAATTTAAGCAGTCACAAAGACATTGAGTAAATATAAGAGCCACGGCAAACCTTAGATGGGGAACAGTTACATGTCTATGAAACATAAACCATTATCTATTTATTAGTGCACAGTTAGGCATCAAAATTATACATTTACAATAGTAACAAATCAAATTGTACTTATTCAGCATGATACACAGAATTCAAAGATCCATTGGTGAGCTACTTGGAAGGGGGTGGAGAGCATCTGGTAGCTCCTGAGCTACAGGTTGGAGACCCCTGCAGTAGAATGCAGCATATGACCTGTATCTGTCTATTGCTGTTTTTCTGACTCACAATGCATCGTGGTCTATATTGACCGTTCGAGTGACCACTGATGCCCAATACTTTTCAAGGTGCATTGTGGGAAATTTTGAGTAAATTAGATTTTCAGCTGTTGCTCATTCAGACACTCGCTCGACACTCAGACACAGCAGAGTCTAAGGCTATGTTCAGACTGCAGGGCTTGACACTCAATTCCGATTTTTTGTGGAAATCCGATGTTTTTGCGAGGTCGTTCACATTTCCAATTAAATGTGACTTGTATGTGACTCCAGTGTGAAACGGCCCAAAAGTGTCCCACATGTGCACTGGAGACACGACGACGTCAACCACAGTGAGCGTGCTCTGTGTTTACAGAAGTTGTCCAAACATGGACTCGAGCATCGAGCACCTGGAGATTTTAAAGTTCCTCTCGCACCGGAGCCAGAACATGAACAACTTACTTGTTTTAAGGAGGAGATTGAGAAGGAGAAGGACGAGGTTTTTGGCTGTGACGTTTTGTGGGACAGCAGCGACGTCTGTTGAAAAGAACATGTGGATGTGGAGACGGAGCCAAGAGTGGTGAGTGGAGATGTGCTTCACTTCAGTGACACTGAGTTCATTAACAATTTTCGCCTACTTCAGCGCAGAATAGTGACGTTTGTGTCTTGTTGATAACGTGTAGGTGGATGAATGCACTTTGGCTGTTCACACTGAAGTCACATGTCAAAAGATCAGATATGTATCAGTTTTAAGACCACATATCGGAGTGTCCTGGGTCACATTTGAAAAAATCGGATCTATGTGGTTGACTGTCATTAAAAGATCAGATACAGGTCACATAGAGGCCAAAAAAATCTGATTTGGGTCACTTCAGGCTGCAGTCTGAACGCAGCCTAAGTCACCAACGTTGTGTGGCACCTGGGCCTTAGAGCTCCATCGGCCAGTATGTTGTGGGAGTGGTTAGTCGTTTCAGAATTCTTGGAGTTGTAGTGTTAATGACGTACCATGAAACATTTCAGGCAAAGCATCTCCATGGAAACAAGTCAAAACATCTGAATGGATCAGACTTGAACAAATAAAAATGTCTTTGTTGAGTTGTATTTTGAGTCTGTCTCCTTCTACACCTCTGAAGTGTTAATGTGAACTTTTCTTTCTTTCTAATCTGGCTGTGTGTATCGCTCACTCACAGGCTGCACCAAACCAATCTGGCCTGTCTTTGTGCGTACAGACATCATCCATCGGCCCCTGGCTCAGAGCGGCCCCCGGCTCGTGTAGAGTGGCCCCGGAATATTACAATGAGATGAGGCTGTGTTACCTTGGAGCACCCCTTGACATAGCTACATTTTTTTTTTTTTTTTACCGTTGGGCTCCGTTGCCGTGACAACAGACACATGATTGGTGGGAGGTGATGGGAGGAGGAGGATGCCCCTGTCAGTGCGGTGAACAGGTGACGGGTGACATGTTGAACTTACCAGACACGACTGAAAAAAGGGAACAGAAAAACAAGACAACAAAGCCAGGATGAATAATAAATCATAAACATGGAAATACGAAAATATAGGAACATGGAAATATAAAAATATAGGAACAATGTAAATGTCAGATGTAGTGGGCTGGTACAATGGTGGAGACATGGACACATTACTGAATTCCACTGGTTTAACAAAGCTTTGGTGTTGTGCCATTGGGCAAAGTGACAAAGGAAGCAATGTGGAACGCTAAAATAAGGAAACATTAGGATGATATGAGCTACTGCAGAGAAGTTGGATGTCAAAACACAATCTCAAAATCAACCTGATATTGACAGAAATATGTTCACAAGTCCCATCTTTCTTTCTTTAGTAATACAAACACGTGTAATTGAAAAGGCTAAATGCAAAATAGAATACTATATTGTGGACAGTGTCGGGAAGGTGACTTTTAAAATGTATTCCCCTACAGATTA